TTTAATGCATACATTACCGTGTCAATCTTCGTTGAAATAAATATATCTTCGCGTAATAAATACGTATTATTTGAAGAAATCAGCTTCCATATTCTTGTATTAGAAAATTCCTATTTCTGTCTCCGTAGATCAACTATCGGAAAATTTGTTTATCGAGAGTACTTTGGCTGCCTATTATTTCTGACAATCGACGTTCTACTGTGTACGTATAGTGCTAACGAACTCAAACTGAAAATAGATACTAAATTTGACACAAGAAGACCTTTGATTGTAGTCTCCATAATACTTCTTCGATATCGAAGAAATATTTCTATCGCTCGTGCTTGTAAAATCCCGAAGAAGTGTGTCATGGTTTTATTAAGAATTAAAGCGAGGTATTACCTTAATAATAATATCGAAATTAGGTACTGCAGTAAAAATGAAAGTACGAACGAACGCTAACTTGACAGCTGTTATAAAATTTCTTGATACCTATTTTAAATTACGGAAAAAAGTCGGTAACGACAAGAAACACGTCATTAAATTAATTATGCAAAGTCTAATGACCGCTATAAGTATGCCTATAAAGGTGACCGTTTCGCAGGTACGTTTTACGACGCGTTGTAGCTGTCGTTTGAACACCGTAATGAAAATTATGTTTCATAGTCTGGCTCTTAACGTTTCCCTGACTTCTATACCGTCTCCTAATGTTTGCACTTTAAGATATATGAAAATATTCATACTCGATCGTAAACACGTTTTTGAGCGATTGCAAACTTCCCACGACAAATTTGTGGAGAGCCACAAAGTAATGAAATTTGCCATATCAGAACAACTTGCGTTAATCGAATGACATTAGTTGTGTTTTAATATAGTATTCTACATATTCTGAATGCTCCTTTCGCCTTCAATATAAAAATTTCCAGACCCAATCCAATTTAACAGCAAAAATCGAATCAGTTCGATAACAAAAATATTTCGTTTCGAGTTTCGTCGACGTGCATCGAATTCGCAGTCGATTAATTTCCTCTTTCGTCGAAGTGTCCCGAAACTCTTCAATTTCCAGCGGGACTGTTTGTCGCGTGGCACGACGAAGGGGAGGGAGAATTTAAACGAGCGAAATAAATCTCGCGGCCCCTTTCGCGCCGCGGGTTTTACGAGCCTCCGACCGTCCTGTGTACGCCCGTTGTTACTATGATAATGAGCACTATCAATTTGCATCTGGGTTATTAGCACTTGCTCGCTGTTCCTTGAAGTCAACGACAATTCTACCCGTAATTTAAGCCGCCTTATCGATTACTTCCGGCCGAACAGGCGACGCAGGTAGCTGCTACCGGAGAATTTACAGTCCCTCTCGGATCATCTTTTCTCATGGACGACGCCTGGCTTGAACGTTCACCTCCACGGTCGGGTTCGTCTGGGTGTCGTGTCGCGACGCCGTTACTTCGTGCACCCTTTGACTTCGAACGTCGCGAAGTTCCCTTAAAACGTTCCCGGGTCTCGTGTCCCATGCGTGCTTGTCTCGCGTAAAAATGCTCGAGATAACGACGCGAGATAGCTCGCGTTAGACGTGCTATCGACTTTTCGTCGCACGAGAGCCGATACGGTCAAGGCGACGCCAATCTTTTTCGAACCGTTCGATGTTTCCCAGCGCTCGATACGGTTCGTTTTCGCCCGAACTTTTCGACTAACCCCCGGCTCAGGCCACGGTCCGGGATTTTGGGCGTCGGTGACCGGAGCTTTCACGGCACCGCCGCGTAAAACGAATTACCAGGCGGGATAATCGGGTAATAAACTTCCTGGACCGCGTGGGCGGCCACGTGGGTCGTCCCTGGTTGCGGTATTACCGTGTCGACGACGGTGTAAATATATTTATTACGACCAGCCCTGCTCGTCATAATTCTCGTTCGGCAGGTACGGAGTTGGCGACTCTGTCTCTCTCGTTGAAAATCCTTCGGGCTTAAGTCCGGGCTCGGGATCGTCTTCCTTCCTTTTCATCGAGCCACCTTTACACCGACGAGTCTCCCAAGTTGTTCGAGCTGGAAGGACGCGTGACAATAATTTACGACCGACGAGCTTTCCTTTCGGAAGGCTTTATCCTGCCCGGATCCCCCGTAGAGATTTTTTTTATAATTGTTTACATATCCTGTTTCACCCCTTTGTTCCCTTTTTCTCGGTGGGCGAATACCTCGCGCGAAACAACGTTTACGAGTCGTTTTTGCGAATAGTTTTCCCAGTGCATCGGCGGGCAACGCTCGGGGTAGCAGTTTCGAGGTAACGTTGCTTTATTGCTCGTAAACGACGCCGCGTATTGTGTAGCTAAATCTTTCGTTATCGTGGCCTAAAATCGGTTGGCGCGAGGCTCGCTAACACGGTTTAATGGCTGACCCACATGTAGGTCAGGACGATTTTGACGAAGAAAAATTGGTAATTATTCTGAACAATTTTTTTCAACGGGAGAAATTTAAATTTCTTGTGGCATATAAGAAGGAATCTTACGTTTTGACCACTGTACTTCGTTATAAAATGAGAGCATTTTGCGAGAGGTTAAGGATCATCGCTGAAAAATGATTCGTAATAACGTTACAAGAGGATAAGATGCGAGCTGTAAACAAGTTTATTGCGACTTCTCTCCTCAGTCATCCTGGACGAGACGAACTCGTTATTTGCGAACTTATTATCGTCCTGCGGCCAGGTATCTGCACCGATGACGCGGGTCGGGGCACAATTGTGAAAGAACGCTCCGAAAGCAAGGGATCTCGTTCGCTAAAACCCTCTTCGTCCCCGTTTCCCTTGCAACGCGATTCGGATCGTCGTGCCACGGCCTCACAATAGACCTCTCGAATCGGCCTGGTAAAGCGGAGTTATTAGTTCCTTCGTTGAAGTTGGGACGGGGTAAATTCCAAGGTGAATCGACGACGGAACACCGGCTGGGCGAACATTTTTCTCCGCGTTGCGTGTCTGTAATGCACTTAGCGAAATGGAAAGATAAGTTCGGGTGGTCACGAGTGACCGAAACGTCCAAACATCTCATTGTTATTTCGTCGGTGTTCCTTGTTAAACTAAGTTGCCTAAACATTTGCATCGGTTTGTCTGATCTGTGTCGGTGTGTTCGAATTAACCAGTTCGAGATGTGCATTCATCGGCCGTGCGTGGTTTCAATTGTGTAGCGCCGTATCTAATGCGCCCATGTTACAATCGAACGGTACGATTAGGGCATGCGAGGGACGCAATGGAAATACACACAGGACGCATTGAAACTCCGCATTAACTCTAAAATGGCTATTAACATTTACACGGAGATGTCTCTCATTTATTCCATAAATTTAAATACATATTTGTACTAGAAAAAAGAACGTTTAACTGCTCTAAAGCCACAGTTATTGATAGGTATCGATTAAATCAGATTTCAAGAACGTGGGTGACTTTAGATGGTCAATGTATTTTTATGTAAACATTTTAGATTTTTAGAAAAAGTATTCGATGCCATCTCTCCGTTGTTTTTATCCGGTGCAAACATTTTTCAATGATTGCTACATCGCGTTTGTTTTCGAACAAGAGCGAGCGGGGACGTCGATACGTCTGGCACAGGGATAGCAAACAAACAGATTGTTGAAAAAAAGATACAGAATCCCTCTTAAATATTCATTCCACGTTCGTCCACAGGTATTTGCTCTCGATCATTCTCCCCAGTATCGTGCATTCTGTCGTGTCGCCGATGCACCAGCCACGATTACGCAAATCCGCGCAATATTCCTGAGCGATATCTTGATGAAAGCATGATACGATGTACGGTCGTCAAACGTCCATTCGAGAATAAAATTCCAGTCGTTGATCTGGGCCATTGATCCGGCGCGGTCCGTGTATGAAAATGTCCATTTTTTTCAGGCTGAAATTAAAAATGCTTCGTCCTCTTAACCCCTTTGCGTATTGTACCTCGAACACAATTTTTTTTTTAATACGCGTCGACCTATTTTGTTGCAAATATTGCAAAAGTATAATGGATTCCAACTCGACAAAGGGCTTGTCACTGTACGAGTAATTTACCTCCGCAACCGAGAATAATTTTTTCAGAATGATTTAAAATTTTTTAATTTCGCCGAAAAAATAATAAGTTTTTAAGGAAACCTCAATCAAAAAAATGGTGTTCTTGATTTTCGTCTTATTTTGGCCTGTAGAATCTTCCATTCAAATTTTTCCCTGTATAACAGTGATGCAAATTATCTGAAGTCAGTTTTTTAAAAACCGTCATGTGGTCGACGAAGGAAGTACAATATGCAAAGATAAGCCTAGGACAAAGGTCGGACAAGAAATAATTAGAGTAAAAGTTATCATTAATTATCTAGAGTTCCATTTCTCTGGTATCCTTCCGATTACATAGTCCGCTACAAGGGTCATCGTATCTCACGAAATGCAATCTTGAATGCTATAGAGTCCAGGGATTCATGCTGCACGTTCTATAGCAATACTGTACGCTTGTGATAATAACTTGTCCAGATTATGGCCGCGTATTCCAGATGCGATATTCTGCGAGCAACTAGGTCGCACTCCGGACTAGGCGTCAATCATTTCGTGAATTTCATCTATTCACGCTGTGAAAAGCGCCGGTGGAAGCGTCGGTATCAGTAATCTCTGGTGGAATCAGCGGAAGAACTCAGAGCCACGGCTCTCAAAGATGCACAACCGAGATGATCCGATATAATCTGAAGCTTTTCATCAGAATCTCGTACGTAACGGAGTGGCGGGAACAATCGGGTCATCGTCGTAGATAGGTTTCGGTCATTCCGCGAATTTTATTGGTTCACCCTCCGAAACTCTGGTGGAATTTCGGAAATTAGCAATGGGGTCGCGATGACGTAGAATCTTCGAGCGTCCAGGAAACAAAAGGCTGCGGGAACGCTTCGTCTTTAAGGCAGAAAACTTAAGATTGGACGAAGTTCCACAGCTAGGGACCCATTTTTTAAAAGACCTTTTGTTTCGATCGATTCGAACTTAACATTGAAATATATATTTTGTTGCAGAATGGACACCTCTTCAAGAACATTCCTAAAACTGTGGGAAGATGTGCTGTTCAACTAAACTGGAAAACATTTGGAACGTTCAAACATCTGCAGAAACGAGGTAACATTTTGACACAAAGTATTTTTTTACGTACATTTTTTATTTTTTAATAAGATGCAAATGAGTTGGATCAGTGGGGCAGTTACCCCTGTACGTTTCGATATTTTCGCGGGTTTTGTTCCACTGTCGGTGGTCCCGTTTCGATCGTTTCGCGGAGACGCGGTACCGACAATCGCTATTAGAATCGGTGAAGAAGATCGGCGTCGGTCACGGGGAAAGGGTACGGTAGCGAGAGGCGGAAGAGCAACGAGGGAGAGACAGTGACGGAGAAGGGGTCTGTAGTTATGGGAGTCGCTGGTGGAGTGGAGTAAGCATTGTAAATCAATACCCTGACGGCTGCCGGCGCTTCGAACGCGCCCCGTATTTCAGCATGCCAATACACTGGAACTATCCTCCATCGCTGGCTGGATAGCGGAATATAACGCTTAATAGAGGTCGCGGACGGAAGGGATCGAGAGGATGAGCGCGTTGGAGGAGGGGGATGATCGAGGCATAAGGGTGCAACCAGAGACGGGCAAAAATTCTTATCCAGATACATATTTCGAGTAAAAAATGGCCATTCAACAATTGTAGAATCGAGTGTCTCAAATTCGGACAAATTTTATTTTAAACTAGTTTTGGACTACTCATCCATATGTAGGATAGAGGATTTTTCATCAAGGAGCTGAAAGTTTGATTCCCAAGGGGTAATATCGATAGAAATAAATTTGGGTTTGCAAGCTTCCATGTTACAAAATTGTTTAAGCTTGTTTGAAAGTAGAATGTTCGCCTCGCAGAAAAGTTTACGAATAAAACAAACGCGTTAAAGAATTCTAATTGAATAAATTTCCGACAACAGAGGAATGGTTATTGACAGACGAAGGATCATTCTTCGAGTTCGTGGAGCTGGGACGCGATCGCGTGCATCGTCGCGAAAATTTCACAACGTAATTGGGTCGTCGAGTATGCGCGCGACGATGCATCGGGAAACGCGGTTGATCGTTTCCTTTCTTTCGCTCGCAGTTCACGAGCTTCGAAAAAGCTCGAATTTCGCATCGATTCCCATCCTGCCAAACTTTTAATCCTGCAAAGGCCGATTCGCTTCGAACTTTTAATCTTGAAATAAACAGTGTCTTCCGAAGTATAGAATATGCAACTACTTAGGGGGTGGTCAATTCTTAATTCAGAACCACCAATTTTCTTTTCGACGAAACGAAAGGTTCTCGCACGCCTCCGTCGAGTTTATCGCGCTTTTTTCCCGTTTTCTGGGACGCTCAGAGTTACCCGGCTCTCATTGTGCTGCCCCTTTTTCCCCTCGTTATACGTTCAATCCGCCGTCGAGTTTTGCGACGAATTAATATATCACTGCTCGTTCGCTCCCGAGTCTGTTCGACGCGAATGTAAAAAAAAATAAAGAAGCATGCTCGGAGACGAAATGGGGCAAAAATTTGTTACGTAAAGAGGAAACCTCGTGGATCGAAACGGGTCAACCTGCCAATTTCGCGCGAAGAGACTGTGTCTCGTCCTGAACGGCGTTCAACTTTGACCCAGTGACATGGTCCTAATGAAAACGTCTACGACAGAATCGTTCTTAATTATCTTAATGGCTCGGGGAGCAACACCTTTGACCCGAAATAATAATAAAAATCAAACGGGTCCGAGCCCGGAAGAATTCGTCCAATCCGCGGGTCAACACATTCCCAGCCTAGAAACTTTCGTCTACTGCATTTTGCTCCCTTTCTTCGTTCTTTAACCTGTAAGCAAATTGGGGTAACATGCAAAGTGTCCTCAAAATGCTTGCAATAATTACTCGTCAATTTTTTAATCCTGTCATTGACATTGGAAATACTAAATAAAATAACGCTTCGCAGTACTCGTTTTCTAAACGATCGATGCGTTCTATTTTCCGCTGTACCGTGCCTCGAATCTCTAGTAAATAATCCCCGTTTGAATCTCGATCGGTAGAGGCTCCGGCGTTGCGTTTCAGGATTCCTCGCGGGTAATCCTTCCCTCGTTCCGGATCGCGGGTCTCGAGGTTCTCAGGAAGAAGACCGCTTCCGGGGCCAGGTGTGGGCCTCACGGTATCCTCCCGCCGTTCCAGGCCGGGGCCTACGATCACGTCGCGACGATTACTCGTGAACCACGGGTCAAAAACTCGCCGCTTAATCGGTAGTCGTCGGGATGAGCAGAGCGTTGGCATCGCGAGAGCAGGTGGAGCTATTTGGAGAACAGCCCACTCGAGAGGCCACCGTGTTCCTCTCTTTCTCCGGCCGTTCTCTCCCTCGGTCGGGTCCCTTCCTCTTCCCCTGCACGCTCTGTCGTCCTTTCTCTGTTGCACCAACAACCTCCTTGGCAACCCGCAAGCTTGGCAATGTTGCGACCGAGGAACGACCAGATGGTCCTGTATATCCTTGCGGCAGCTGCGGCGGGACCCGTCGACGTCTCTCGAAGACGCACGAACCGCGCGGCACGATCGCGCCGAAAAATAAAGAAGGGTGCCCGCTCGAAACTGAAAGATCGCTTTCGACGAAGGGTGAATCCTGGTGCCTTTACATTTTCCACGTTGTCGGCCAAATCACGATACGAATCGGACAAGCTTGACCGATCAGGACGACTCGTGAAGATCGTATTACTATATAGAAAATAATTGGAGATCAAATTCACAGGTTAGAAACGATCCAGGAGACTCACCAAACAAATCACCCATGTTTTTCACAGTAGTTTTAATATTAGTACCCCAAGAAAGTAAGATACCTATTCGCAGGACATTGTTTAGCTATCTTAGCAGATTTCTGAAACACCCTGTAGGTTCCCAAGCTACTCGACATCCATACCAGCCATGAATATCAGTTAACACGTAGACTCGAAGGAGTTTTCATCGAAGATACTCGGGAACACGATATGCTAATTAATATAATTCATGATTCAAAGTAAACCCCGGCTCAAGGGAACCGCACGTCGGCGAATAAAAGCGAGCGGCGGATAAAAATTGAGTTCCGGGACAGGGTTATTTATGCGTATTATCAATTTTCGCGCAGCAGCTGCCACGATTGCATCTGAAATTCTATTTACGACGCGCGCGGAACGACAGAATTTTTTAAGGCCAACCCGAGCCTTTGGCACGACGATACGATCGCTGCGTTGCATTTTTCGCGTGTATACTCGCCTTTCGTTCATCTTCCCCTCCTCGCCCCGTCATTCTTCTCGCGTTTAATGAAATTCGACGGCGACAGAGCGTGCAATTACGCCATTCGCGGGCCGCCGTCGCTTGTTTAGCGCTCAATTCATTAACCCTGGTGAATTCGTAATTATCTGAAAAGAGACTCGTACTCCTTGCGGTCCAATTTAGCGCCGACGGTTTCACGTTGCCCCGCGAAGTGTACCCGTCTCGTTCTCCTCGCCCGAATCGCGTCTTGTTTTAAATTAGAGGGAATACACGGGTCGAGCGAACGACACGGCGGATTCCTCGTTCAAAAGCGCGAGGCAAGATTTTTTCGCGCGATTCTTCTTTCACGGGGATAGAAAAGGCTTTCAGAATTATTGAGTGTGTACGCGCGCGCTTGACAATGGAACTGCAGCGTAAACTTTTCCAATAGTGCCTTTAGGTTGTTTCGAAGCTACATCTCAGAAATAGCAAACTTGTTCAATGGGCTTATGTTCGATACTCTTCGATCTAATGTAATTCGTAAATTAATATTTGCTATTCCATTCGCTATTCGCGAAAAGAAGTTGGTCTCTGGAATTTCTAGAGAGATTTATGGTACAAAGTACGAGTCGTTGACAACAAGGGAGACAATAAAATTGAAATCTTTATAGAGTTCTTTGAAATGGTCAACCGACCATAGCCGCGCGTGGGACGGTTACATTTTATTTTTATACCTGAGACGGCCCTTTAACAAGCTCATTGAAGCGTCGATTAAAATACGACCATCGTTACGTAACGTTACTTTGTGAACAAAGCTTTCAGAGATACGTTCGTAATGTTTTATTTGAAAATAAAAAAGAAAAAGGATATTCGACGAAGCCTCCGAGCGTTAGCGTGGCGGCTCCAACGCGTTTTCCCGCGTCGTTTTCGCGAAACGTGCGAGTCTAAAATCGCCCAGCGGGGCGAGTTGCCTGGCGAAAGTAAAATTTCGACGATAAAACGAAAGCAGGTGGCCCGACATAAAAGCGAGGCGAGGGAAACTACGATGCAATATTGCGATACGCGTCGTCGACTGGCTCGTTCGGAGATCCATTCGCGAGGGCATGACCCGAGGGCCGTCCATTTTGAAAGGCACGCACCTTATCTGCGGACTCGTGTCACCATCGGCTTGTATTTTGTCGCAGATAAGAGCGCGCGGTTACGTTACGACGCCGGTTATAGTACCGTGAAAATATGGTGGCCCAAAATGGCTCTGCGAATTATAAACGTTCCATTCCTATCAATTTTCTTCTTTATTAACCCTCGCGACGAAGAACTTTACTAATTCTCAGCAAAAAAATACAATTTTTGTTGTAATTCTATTTTAAAAATACTGTAAAACAGGTTCCTTTACCTAACTAGGTAAAATTGCTCGATGTTTACGTTTTCTCGAAATCATTCAGTTTTGTAAATAACAAGTACTCCAAGTAAGTTATCGAACATTTGAATTTATCACGCTATAATTTAACGAAAATATCGAGGATCTCTACAAAAATCACTTTGCAATAATTCATTGTAAGCGTTCGAAAGGGGAGTCGTAGCGCCTGGTCACTAATGGCCACCATGGTAGTCGCAGCGTTGAATACTCTGCTCACGGTCGTACTATTGGTGAGTAAAGTAATACTTATCGGTTGCAATTAAAGGTTTAAAGCTCTTTCGTTTTATTTTTCGCTGAATTTGTACACGAGTTCCTTTCTATTCGTTCCTTTCACTTTCTACCTGTTTCCTAGTGCTATCCACTTTTCTCGGTTCAAGGCGCGATAAGGCGCAGCGGTTGGAGGATAACAGAAAATTGTTCGTAAGTTATGGCACCCTTCCAAGCCACCGTGGCTGGATA